TAAGTTACTCGTTATATAGATAGCTATCTGTTAGTAAAATATTATCAAAATCGGACCAGCCGTCAAACAAACTGAAACTGAAGCCGCTGAACAAACTGAAGACAGATAGATAAAGAAATATGTAAACTGATTTTTAGACACAGGTATCGTGAAAATAACAGTGTAAGCATGAAAAAAACTATGATTTTGACATTACAAACAGACACTTCAATTTTATTTATTTGTATAGAAGATATAATTATATAATACACAAAACATTTTAACAAAATAGTAATTAAAACAAGAGAAGTATCGTCAAAACATCTTTACATATAAAATGACTTGCCCTTACTGACTAATTCATCAACGCAGAGCCTAAACTGGCCGATGCTTTTTATATGAAACAGCCACTAAGAAAGAATATTTGGTAATTTCACTCCTAAGGGGTTAATAAAAGGGATGAAAGGTTCTTTTTTTTGATAGAGAGGGCAGACGAGCAGACGGGTCACCTGATGGAAGACCATCGCCGCCCATTAACGTCTGCAATTTAGGAATCACAAACACGCTGCCGGCCTTTGCCGGTTCTATTGAAGTTCGTAATTTTCAAAGTTACAAATACATAATAAAAAATTATGAAGCGAGTAAAGCCGCTAATCATAGCTAGTTGTTTATAAGACCATAATCTTATTCTGAACCATTAATCAACCAGCCTCTCAAACGTCTCTTGCAGTTAATAATTTAAAATGAGAAATTGTGTCTTTAGTAGAAATTGATGCAAATTTTACCCTTGTTTAATGAACTGGTTTTGCTTATTCAATTAGTCTTTCTGATTCTTTTAGACATAAAAATGGATTGAATTTCTTTATTATATATGAGAACTTTTAGAAATGAAAGATTACACCCAAACTCAAAACAACTATATGTAAACCAATCTAATAAAATCTGAAGTATTTTTAAACCTACAGTACTCAAAGATGTCGAAGTAGTTTGCGAATTCAAACCTTAGGCTGCACATTTCCTACAAAATATTTACCTCTAATAATATTATTTACAACGAACTAATTATATAATCCTATACTCCATTTTCCACATGTTCTACGAAAATAGACATGCAATACCGTCGTTAGCTAGCAAAGAACGTACCTGTGTAGAAGGATGTTGTACTTACACCCACATTCGCGTAAGCCATCATTACAATATGAGCTTGCAGAATTATTTATTGTCATGACCTACATAAATCACGTAAGATTTCCATTGGTATTTATATTTTACTGACATCTGTAAAGATATCATAATTTAGCAGTTGTCAAAGCGGAATGAAGAAAAGTAAATTTAAAAAGAGAACTGAGAAAAGACAATTTAGAAATGAATTATGATTACCGATTGCAACCGGACCCTTAATATTCTTGGCAGTGGCATATAAATAAAAAACTAGCACATTTTGCTTTTTAGTCAAGAACATTTTAAACCCACAATGCCACAACGCGCCTATGTCCGTGGGCGCGTTGTGGCATAAAACAAAATGCAAATGAGTAGCCCTGTCTCGAGAGTTAAATAATATTTTTTTGTTAATTTTAACATTTATTACGGGTTTACCTACGAGTATAAGCTCTTTATGAAAACTAATGTAATGCATGTAACAACTAGCAAACTAGTTCTTGAAACTGCTTACTATATTAAGGATATTAATAAAGAAAATTCAGAAAAGGTAAATTAGATTGGATATTTAGAAATAAATGGGTTTTTTTTAAAATATGATTTGAAAATTACATTCATAGAATATAATGACTGGATGGCATAGTGGTTTAAGCGGTCACCTCACCGCCTTTCTAATATTTAAAAAAATATATGTAGAAAAATACTTAAACTAAACACCACCACTTCTTATTACCAATAATCGGTCACCATACTGAAATGAGTTCTTGAAATATTGCTTGTCGGTTAATGACTTTGTCATGGCCCTTCACAGTGAACTAGAATGATTTCCGCATTAAGGAAATGCGTAGGCAATGGAGGAGCCATTGGTACATGACTGCCCGATCTAAAAAATGTATTCAGGAAGTGCGGTGACTAGGATGTCTAACTCTCAAAAGAACCCTGGCAATAAAGCTCTTTTAACTATTTACGTACAACATTGTTATCTAGCAATGAGATGTTTATAATTCTACAAATTTGCTAAGCAAATCTACAGTTACCGACATATCTCATGTTTGTGTTGACAGAGTAATGGTAAATCCTGAGTGTATCACAAATATAGGAAACTAAATACCTTGTCTACAGTTTCTGAAATTAATTAACAACTAGGTTTGTTTACATTGGCTACGAAGAAGGCTTATCTCGACTCGTAGTGATTTCCAACACAAACTCAGTTAAATACATTAATTATAACTTTGATATTTATTCGAGAAATAAGTCACGAAACGCAGAACCATATAATTTCTATTGTGCGTCTGCGGTTTACAAAATTATATATTTTATATTTATATATTTATAAAACATTATACAACAACATATCATTTCATTTCATTATAACAATATTAAGTTGGTTTCTGTACGCTTCAAAAGCTTAAAAATACATTGACTGAGCTAAAATTTTGACATGATGTACTACTTCAAAGATTGTTTTATCTATTTTTCGCGTAATTTTAAACCTAATTTCTCATCAGTGGCAGGGCATAGCTAGTCTCACAATAAACAAATAAATAAGGAATATGCATTTCTGCTTAGTATAGAAGACTATTGAGACTTAATTATAGTTTTTCAATGTATTGAAATAAATAAAAGTTGCGTTTTCTTTATATTAGTAATTGCCAAATTTAGTGTTCCAAATTCATGAGGTCATTTTTATTTTAAAAAAACTTTCTACTTTATTTAAAATATAGGTGAGATAAACGAAGACTAATTGCGTACTCGGGTAAATTCTTTAAACTGCCCATTTAACTCGTGGTGTTAAAAATAAACCCTTTACTGTCTTGAAAAGCATTTCGTTTGTTCAGAGCTTTTCCATTCATCCGTCAAAAGGGAGGTTGGCCACTAAGACCCCTATTTTGTTCTTGATTAAATTCGTAATGGGTTTCATAGCAATATAACGCTTGCGGAGATACCCTCAATAAACCATAATTTAGTTCAAAACCACCCAATCCTTGGCTTACAAATGTTTCTCACTATGCTGATTGCGGATAGGGTATTTGTGTACTTACATCGCTGTTGTTTTAATTAAATAGTTGTAGAACATTGTACCCGCGGTTCTAAAAATATATCAACTAAATTTTTTTTTTAGTGATGCTCGTTTTTATGTGTTTGTCTGAATCTTAACAAGTCTGAACAACTTCAGAATCGTATATTCTGTTTTTAAGCCCCTAAACATAAAATTTATTTTCTGTTATGTTATACAGCTTAAAATAAATTATAACAATCTTAGACCAAATTTTGAGAAACCCGTATTACATATTCATTCATACCTAAGGTTGCGTATCCATCTATCTATCCACACCTAAGGTTTTCTAGGTTGGGTTATTCAGAAAAGGTAACTATGTAAAAAATCGCCTTTGTTGATCACCAAGATGTAATCTTGGGTTTACCACCCAAACAAAATAAGCAACTGTCGCCCACTTGTAACCTAAGTTCGTACCGGGTTTTCGTCTTATCCAGTCTTGCCAAAGTTTGTAAATACGAGCATCCTGTCCTGTCGGAACTTTTTATTTAATAATATTTTAATAGTCTTCGCGTCCACATCTGTTTTCATATATTTTTAAGTATTAACAGCAGCTGTAAAACAAAAATACTATATTTCAAAGCTCAGAAAAGTTAAATTACTACTCTAGTTTTTTATAACCGAAATAAATTATTAAACAGTTATCGTGAAATTAAATGTAAAAAGATAGTTTGATAACTTAGAATAAAATAAATTATTATTTTGCCAAATTGTTGTTTTACGGGATCTAAGTTATGCTTTGACATTTCAGAAAGAAGGAATATATTAGCTTGCAAAAACTACTCTACTAGCAAAAAATAAATTCAGCTTTGAATAAAAGGAAGGGATTTCTCGTTATACTTCACTACAACTTAGTCAAGCTGAATTTAAAAGGGCTCCATTCAATATTACCCATTTTTCCCCTATAGTCTCGACCCAATTCCATCATAGTTACGATTTGTGTCAGCAGGTCACATGAATAGACGACGCTCCATGCTCCTATTTATATGGAAGCATCTACATTATGCAAGTGACAAAATGTAAGCAAAGAGTATTAAATTGGGTGTAAAATGCTATCATATTTTATGTGTCAGATGCTGTTTTTTTTCGTCTGTCCGTGTAGTGTCGGATTAAGAATACGGAATGTCACTACCCCAATACATCCCGTGGGTGTCGTAAGAGCCGAATAAGGGCGTAAAACAACGCAGGACACCAGCACTGCAAAAAGAAGGAAAACTTGACACAAACCCTATCCTAACCCGTCTGGCCTGCGTGGTATAGTAGGCCAAAACCTCCTTTCTAAGGAGAGGCCTATGTCCAGCAGTGGACCATTAAAGGCTGTTGATGTGATGATGTGATGATGATGCTGTTTTTTTTCGGACTACAAAATCGTAGAATATCTAGTTTTATAGTACATATATTATTTATTAATAAAATACTCGGTAACGAAGTCAATTTTAAACTACTTCTAATTGTCGTATCTGAGTAAAACTTTGTGTCTATATGTAGTTTGAAAGCCAATACTGTGATTTGGCATATTTAAGTTCAATTGTCAATGAAGCCAGATATATAACCATATGTCTAAACCATTTATAAACCGATCGGCAACGTTCAAATCTGGTCCCATAAAGATTCAAAGAAGTATAATAAAAGGAAACTTTTTTTAAGAAATGAAGAATTCGGCTTATGTTATTTTACCATAATCTAGTAGCATCGAATTCAGTCATACTTTTTTCAAGATAAATATTTTTACTAAATGTGTGAATAAAAATATTCCTCAATTGAGTGTTAAATATCTAAATTAAACAATCTCGTTCTTCTTTTCCAGGTACATTTTCCTGGCGATCTACACAGCAGAGATGATAATTAAGTGCATAGCTAAGGGATTTATATTAAACAAATACACGTACTTACGAAATCCATGGAATTGGCTGGACTTTGTCGTCATCACGTCAGGGTACGCCACTATCGGTATGGAGGTTGGCAACTTGGCTGGCCTGCGGACCTTTCGAGTGTTGAGGGCGTTGAAGACGGTTTCTATTATGCCAGGTAAGACTAATTTATATTTTCTATATATATATTCGTTAAATATTAAATTCGCTTTGGTGCCTTAACTATCACATATATAAACTAGACAAAGACAAAACAGAAACTAAGTTTGCACAAATGTTTCGAGGAAACCTGTCTTGTTTCCGAATCTAGTTGAAGATTCTATAAATAGATTATATTAAATATAGTTTAATAAGACCGTTACTTTTTTTGGATAAGGTAGTAAGATGTTACATTTGAACCCGAAAATATTTTGTTTTCGACATTACTTAATTTTCCAAAACTTAGAGTGGTATTTGTTCTTCACATTTGAATGGAACTAAATTGGAAATATACGCTTCTAAATAAAAAAATATTTTGTATAATCGGTTTACAAATGAAAGAGTTCTGAGATAACAAACATGAAAATAATTGCGTCACAAACATTTTTTTGGCTAAATGTTTTGTAATCTCATTTATTACTCTTGTGCACATACATATCTCTGTTACCCCACACAAACACCTAACAAATATCTTGAAAGAATAAAACATGATTAGAATTTTGAAATAGTTATTTTCTAGCTTAGTGTTTTTAAAGTCTGTTAAGAACTCATATACACCGAAGCATACATAAATTGCTTAACATGACAAGTGCCAGAATTGAATGAACATCGTAAGATTTCAAAATTAGCTAAACAAAACATTGCACAAATTAACTAAATGCTAAATTGGTAAAAATAGCTAAACAACATTATACTCAAAACATCTTAATACCTTATGTTACTAGTTGTCAAATAGGTGTGAGTGTTCAAATAAGCAATAATCAATCTATTTTCCTTTCTAGACATACAGACAGACATAAAGATTTTCTACTAAACCTAGACTACTTTCTTGTAAAACTAAGTTTTCGTTTACCTACTTCACTAATTATAGTGTATCCAATCGTTTATTTAACTTTTGACAGATCACGTACATGTAGTTTTGTATATAATAATTTTTGATACAATGTACTACAGGGAATACTGTACTTTATGGACGGGCACCGCCCACTTAGAGATGTGTCAATAAGGGTTTTGAAATAAATCGATTATATTAATAAAACATACAATAAAATTATTATGATTATATCTTATATCATATCACGTAAAAACCTTTATTATTTTGCATTAAAATGCCCTAAATGTCTCTGTTTTAATGCATAAAAATTTTGCGTAATGAAAACAGTTCCATCGTACTCGTACCTAGTAATGCGATCGAATGTATTCGCTGCAAATTATTGAATCTAAAATAATCGTTTAGACTTACTTATCGTTTTACTTACTTTTCGTTTATCGTTTAGTTGGTTCAAATAAAAAGCATGTGAATGAACTGCGGTACCTACTTGTAATGAACAGGTACAAAATGTTGAAATTCATAGTACTTTAGGGATTAAAAAAGAAAACAACCAAAAGAGGTACTGTAATACTATTTTTAATTATAAAGAATCGTCTTTTTCGTATGACCAGGAATTATCATCACTTGAGTTCTCAGTAATATTGATTATCAATTCTTGGACAGATAAATTGTCGAATGCAACATCGCGATCCCAATCCGTCATTATCACCTTTTTTGTTTTTTTTACAAAAGTGGCCCAGTTTTCCGGAGTTACTTTTACACACGAGAATCCAATGTCGTTCAAATGTTGCCAAAGAAGATTTTTGACCACGGAACAAACCACTATTTCGTAGAGATTGTGTTAGTTTTTTTAATGTTGGAATCTCTTTTCTTTAGTAATAGTCGTATATAATTATGACGACGAATAACATCAGTGTCAAAATTGTCAACTGCTGTCACTTTACAGGTCTGACGTTTTTTCTTAGGTGTAGATAGCTTATCCTGTCCCATGCCACTGCTGCCGTAGTCTTCTTTTGTTATTTTTGCCACTGTTGGAGCACTAATACCTAATGCTGCTGCAACACGGTCTCTAACTTCAGTCACTGGTATAAGAGGCCCACCATTACGGCTTTCCTTTTCAAAGTATTCACGAAGTCGCAAGACAAACTCTCTTGTTTGTCCTTTAAGTACTTTACTTTTTGGAATTTTGACAGTAACGAAAGGAGGAACGATACGCTCAACTCAACCAAACGTGAGGATTAACAAATAAATCAATACGGAGGAGTATAAATACTCAACTCGACGTATGAAAATGTGGATTAACACTGACAACAAAATGGCGTCGCGCGTCGCCGCCGCGTCCGGTGTTGCCGTTTAATAATCGATAAAATTATGAAATTATCGATAAAATAATGAGTGTGTTAAATCGATTAAAACTTCTTCATGAATAAAATCGTTTGATAAAAGAAATCGAATCCTTAACGGGTCAGGGTATCACTATTTGATTAAGTATTAGAGCTGTCAAAAGTTTGACTTAAAGGTCAATAAATTCCAAAAAAAAAAAAGCTGTCAAAAATTAAATTCTACGATTCTTCTAAGATTCTTACAGACTTAGGGATATAAATAAATATATACATAGATACAAGAAGATCCAGTATAGTACTTTGAGTCGTAAAGTATTTATAAAAATTAAATTGATGTGTAAAGCTCATAAACATGCGGAGAAATAGTGGCACAGTATTCGGATTAGTTTCACAAGTTTATGTGACGATCAAGCATTTTCATTTTAAGCTGAAATGAAAGTCAGACTGTTATTTTAATACAGTTTGAATCAAGTAGGTAGTCAGTCAGTTGCCCCAGGGTGACTACGATCACTCCGGGATGTGCCTCAGACATGAGGTACGGCAGGGAGGACTCCAGAAGTCGCCGATGTGTTTCTGGAGCTCCTCCCGACTGCCGAGATAGTCCGCGGCGGGGTTTAGTTGGTAGACCGGTTCTCCGGGAGTCCCACACACGCCCTACGTTTCCCCATCGGAGGGTATGGTGCTAAAAGCACACCCCGCGTAAAAAAAAAAAAAATTTTGTCAGTCAGTTGTACCATTCGGTTTTCACCTCAGATCTGAGGTTTTCACTAATAGATAAGATGGACTCTTAACCTAATTGAACTTTTTTCACAGAGTGCCAACCATTACAACACAACAAGTATTTTTATTTCTTAGAATATTTATTTGTCACCGAGTTTCCTGTGTCTGTTATTCTGCCCATATTTTATTTGTTTTAAATAAAAGACAACTCCCGCATTAGGGGGGCTCCTGTGTCGCGGGGGACTTTACAAACATACATGAAACGTACACAAAGAATAAACAGACTGAGAACAACAATTTGTGGATCACACAAAGTGTCGTCCCATGTGAGGAACGGACCCACAACACTCAGCGTAGTAGCAAGCCACTACGAAATCCGATATCTTATACAAATATTGCCGTTGCTAAAGTGCCCACGATAACACTTCACTAAGCATGACTTCTTTTTTGGTTCCTGTAAAATTGCATTACAAAAATAAATTATTATACGGGTTCCAAGTTCTGATGATATCTGAAGCAATTATTGTAAATATAAATTAACTAAACGAATATATTTTCCAGGCAGATTCGGTTTCACGGATCGTCAGCTTTTGAATTCGTGTATTCACATAATTTAAAGCCTCGCCGTTATAAATTAAATGGTTGAAATACGCCTAAATATTAGGAAAATAAGGTAATTCTATATTAATTAATAGCTGATGGGTGCGCACAGTGGCCGTTACTTTACAGAAGATCTCAATCAAATACAGAAAAATTTTAAGACATTAATTTAATGAGTCATTTAATGTCATCATTCTGGTAGAGTACCTCTTCCCTGAACTTATAAATCTTAAGATCAAAAGATGTTACAGACCCCAATGAACTGTTATAATAAGAAATATGGAAAACATTGAAGAAAAATACGCCGGTAATTAATTACAATTGTCATGGCATGACATTTGATTGAGTTTAAGTTTAGTTTCAGATGTTTCAATATAAGTTCAGTGTAAGTTGTGAAAATAGTACTTAACGTTATAATTTTTTACGTACATATTGTTAAAACAGAGTATTAATAACTTTATGAATGTTACAAATAGTATTCCTTTGAATTTTTGGCTTTGCAAAATAATTTAAAACTATACTAGACTTTGTACGATACTTGATATGTTTATATTCATATTTATTACTTTTCATGGTTGATATACACTCATTCAAATAATATGATGAATTTATTTATTTATGATCGATTTTGTATATAATATTTAAAACATAATCTTTACAGTTGTTAAATCTTAGGTAGGCACTTCATAAATTTACTAAAACATATTTACGTTAGGCTTGCTAATAAGGACAACAGCTGAGTCTCAGAAATTATACGAATTGGATTGTACATCACACTTTTGAATAAATTTAAAATTATTATATTAGTTTGTTAACCCAAAAATATTTTCCTTAGATATGCTACTATATCAATATCAATTAACGTTCATATAACTATATTCTAACATCAGTTATGTATCCTATTATACAATATAATCTACTGAACAAACAGGAGACATGAAGTAAACGAATTAGTCAAGTTATTTATTCAATTAAGTACACAAATTCACAACTCTCATTTTTTGAGATGCACTCAGCAAATTTTAATCGGTGGTAGCGTAATTGCTAAGGCGTCACATTAATCAAGCTGTTCGAACAAGTCTGAACTTGAACAAGCTGAACAAGCATTTAGCTTAGCTGGATGGGTTAAAATGGTAAAGGTCTCCGTTGCCGCCTTTAGATCATTATGCATCTGGATAAGGCTGATTTGAGCCATCCTAACTTTTAAAGAAGCAACTCGCGCCCGCGATGATATTTGTCTGTTGTGTGGCTACTCCCTAGCTCTACAAAATAACTTAAGCGGCTGGAGGGTTTTTGTTTATATTTCAGTTCATAAACCTTGTCATTGCTAACTACTGAATCAAAAATTGTACACGCAATGTAGCGTTGTTTTATTTCCAAATAGTTCTTGCACCTAAAAAAAATATATATTTAATTTACAACATTTTTTTCCTAACCAGGTCTAAAAACTATCATCAACGCACTCCTCCATTCATTCAAGCAACTGGCAGAAGTAATGACGTTGACTATCTTCTGCCTGATGGTGTTCGCCCTCTTCGCGCTACAAGTTTACATGGGGGAACTGAGAAATAAATGTGTGAAGAATCTTGTCGTGCCCCTAGGGGAAAACTTCACTGATGAGCTTTGGTCAGCGTAAGTAGTAAATTCTTTTCCGTTTATGTACTATAAAGGATAAACAAATTCTGGACAGTTGCCAACTGTCTTTTTTCTTAATGATATAAGTCTTTTACTACTTCTTTAGTGTATCTTTAAGTGTTTTCAAACTTAGCATCTTTTTAAAGCTTCCCTATATGATAATTTTTCTTATTACCATTAATTAAACATTAGAACAGTTTCTGAGGAATAACTTCCAAATGCTTTTAATACGTATGTTGTACACACAGATTATATATTTTCATAGACTAAAATTACTTACTAAATTAACTTGTAAGTTATCCCATGAAATTCTGTCTAGGGCCCTTAAATTGATCTCTACCATTTATAATAACTACATAAAATCATTTCTATACAGATGGATTAAAGAACCAACAAACTGGATGATGACTGAAAACGAAGTGCCGATCATCTGCGGGAACTTGACAGGAGCCCGTCATTGTCCCGCAGACTACACGTGCCTATGTGTGGGACCAAATCCCAACCATGGTTACACGAACTTCGACAACTTCCTCTGGTCTATGTTGACCACCTTCCAGCTTATTACGCTTGATTATTGGGAGAATGTTTATAACATGGTAAGTACCATAGACGTTATTACTAGCATTAGCACAAAGTGAACCGACATTTATCATTTAAGACATTTATCTGCAAATACCACAAATAGTTAGTCCCTTGTGTAGTTACGTAATGCCAATACATTCCTACAATGGCAATTAGATAAATGGCCGCTTAAACTACTACGTTTGAGGTTTCGTGTGTGACATGGTTGGCAAAGTTATCAATAGCAGTGTGCACGCCATACGCATTGTATCATAATGTAAATATACGGATACTACCTTAAATCAATCCAAATTAGGTAGTTTCCATATCTGGATCTGGATCTCATAATAAAAATACAATCAATGAATTCATGACGGAAAAGGAGAAAGATTCTCGTGCATTATTAATTGGTATTCATTGCTAGTCCGGAAAAATCCGCAATATCTAGCTTAATCCGGTTTAATAACTCTTGCCAATAAATTTATAAAGCTTCTTTTACCTTTAAATGTCGGCAATTAACTTTCTCAATTATTTATATACTTTGAGACTGCAGATACCAGTATTTTGGAATCTGCTTTCATAGATGTGACGTCTTGTGTCAAAGATGTACAAATTAAGAATATAGCTTTAACATTTATAATGTAAAATACCTGAAATTTTGATGGGATTTTAACGATTATGGACACGGCAAGGCTAGGGGCCGTGACCGCAGCACTACTATCCCACGTATCATGGATGAACTAAAAGTGTACATACACAAACGCGTAGATAGACAACAACAATTATCGCAAAAGCACGACGACCTGTAACGAGAATAAACTTTATCACACTCAGTTGGGATTAAATTTTTGTTGAGATTTCAATATCACTTTTGTTTTTCAATCACGCCTCGTATATCTCCGATGGACGTTGTAATCGAATTAGAGCGGTCGTGTTCACAGATGATCGAACTCATACCATCCTTATCGTATTTTTCCGACAGCTGTAACCTCATATCGACACGATTTATCACTCTATAAAATAAATGCTGTTGATTTGAGTTTAAATAATAGATACGTTTATATTTTCTGTCATTTTTACGTAGTTTCAAACGTATATTTAATTGGTTTTGAATAAAATAAAGTCAAACGATTTTTCCATTTTTTTTACTATCTTTTTTCTGTAACTCCGCTCACATAAACGAAACGCTTGCGTTGTTTTTTGTTTATGAGGAATTATAGATATTTTTTTCTATTCAAAGGTCCTTTTGGTATCTCTGACAACGTGTTTAAGAAATTTCTTGAGTAGTTAAGCTGGAAGGGTAAGAAACAAAGAAACAACCTCCTTTCTGCATTGTTCATATTTATAAAGATATGGAGTATGCAGTATGCATATTGAAAGTAAGAATGGCAACCAATTTATGAGAGGAATAAATAAAAAGTTTCTGTAACAACATAAAAATAATATGTATATATATATATTTAAGTTTAATAAGTTATGTATATAGTATATGTATAAGTATATGTATATTTAAGTTTAATAAGTTTTATTACCATAATAGCAACTATATATATATGTGTAAAGCGAAATGGAATAGATAGAATGGAAGGTAGAAGTCGATAGTATAAATCACCCTTATAATAATAAACCTTATGATATAAAACATGTTTAACGTGATTGGATAAATTTCTTATAAAAGTATTATATCACAATATTACTTGACGGGTTAATAAAATATTTCATCAAGTCGTACTGTAACATATTCATAGTCACGATATTTTTTCCAATAACTCACTGGTGTGAGCAGCTCTAGTGTATCTTGTTATGAACATTTCCCTTTTTTTACATTCTGATGTATTATCTGATGATATAAATATAAGTAATAATATTAGGTAATTATAATATGTAATTTTTTATTTGCATGTATTTAAAAATCAATTTCTTATATTAATATAAGTGTGCTTATCATCAATATTTTCGGACATCAGACACACAACGCCATCTAGTTTTAAACTATACAAAGCTTGTACTACAAAAGCCAGATTGAGTGATAGAATACTTATATACTTTTTTCGTAAATTCATACATATTAAACATAGAAAACACCCAAAACTCCAAAACAAATATTTGCAGATCATACAAACATTTGGTCCGACCTGGGAATCGTGACTTCAGCACAGTAGTCGCATACGCTGCCACTGACAGCCTCGGTGGTGGTGAGGCTGTCTATTTCCTAATATTTAATCTGGGTGGGAATCGAACCCTCTAACTTAGCAGTCCGGATGACGAACCACCGTCTGGTGGTTCGTCATGCCAGTCGAAATGCGTACCAGTCACTCGATAAAAAAAAAGTTTGTAAGTATCTATCACTACAAGAAAATAATATCTTAGTAAGAAGTTACGAAAATCTTTATCTTTACAAATAAATAAAATTGAAGTGTCTGTTTGTAACGTCAAAATAATAGGGTTTTTTCACACACTTATTTGCACGACCCCTATGTCTAAAAACCACTTTAAATATTTTTTGTCCGTCTGTTTGTTCCGGGTAATCTTCAAAACGGCTGGACCGATTTTGATAATATTTTACTACCAGGTAGCTACATAAGGAGTAACTTAGGCTATTGTTTCTCTCAGAAAAACCCTATAAAATTTTGAACCTACTAAGCCAGCGCTATCAAAATCCCACTCGAACAAAGTCGCCTGCACCAACTTGTTCATAATAATTTCCTATACCTCATCATTACACTCAAGCAGTATTTCATTTCATCAAATGTATGAACCTCCATTATGAAATAATAACCCCTCAGCAGCGTCTATTTAAATGAACCATTGGAAATGTCGTAATGATTTTGAGGTCTGAGAATTTTATTACAAAGGGTCTGCCACCCAAATTAACTTAACATAAGTTGTGGGTAACGTTGGGGACCGCTTACCGGTCTACCCTTAATTAATTCCCAGGACCACTTTCAAGATACTAGTGTGTGTGGTGAAAAGGAAATTTAATTTAATCTTTATACCTTCGAGTGATGGTTCAATTTATCGTTTTACAATAATAATTTAACAATAGTTATTAATGAATAAATGACTTCTGTAACGCAAAATTCACTGAATACGTTCTAATCATCTTGTGATATGGCAATAATTGTAGCGTATCCTTTTAGGTCTGTATCAACTACGCTTTTAGTTATCTGTGTCTAAATTTGCCACAGCTTTTTAACTGTGTGTCAATTCTTGCGAATAGAACAAAAAAGGTCGTATTTTGCTTTTATTATTCACACTATTTATTATTTTTCTAACACAGTAATAATATAAATGCTGTATTTAGGTTATGCAAACAAAATGTTTTAAGAAAATGACTCGCCTGTCGGTCTTCTGATGAGTGATATTGATTGCTAAGCCAGTTTTCGCCGCAAATTGTTCTTTGAACTTTTAGATAGATATTACAACTTCGGAAATCTGTGACAGCGATTTGAAAGTAATTCCAAAAGACATACAAAGTTACTATGGCTTGAGATCTTAAAGTTCATGAAGCAATTTGCGGCAAAATCTCTTCCATCCATAAAACAATCTCAAAATCAGTACACGAACGACCGGAACCTGCCATTAACCGCTTCAGCTACTACATTTACAAAATGCAAGTAAACATCCAACACCGTAAAACTTAAATGGTTCCTAATTCCCTAACGACCTCAAACTGTGAAGACAAACAATGCGAACGACCGCTTGCTACATACATACACAAGAACACATACCTGCATACATACATACGAGTACATATCGCGCGTTTCAGGTACATGGTCATTCACATGTGTAGTCTGTGCCTAAGTAAACGATGGAACACATGCTTATATTGTTACGACATGCCGCTCCTTTACGATCTAAATGATCAAGAACGCTAAAGTTTAAGTGATACAAAGTTTTCAATGTGTTCTGTAGAGTTACTATACTTATTTATGAGAAAAATCGTAAAAAAATACTTTTACGAAATTTTAGTTTTAACCAGTAATATAGGATAGCTCAGCTCTAACCATTAAATTTAAAAATGAACTTTGGAGAACGAAACATGTTTAAGTGTTTTATCTATGTTAATGTAATTTTATGTACCTTCTTTTAAATTAAAGAAACACGTCTTTAAAACACCATATTTTCAATACTTTCGATCAGGTTGCAAGCCCATTTTAACGAACGAAGGTATTTTACAAAAAATCTCAAAAACTGAGTTTTTAAGATTTTTACACGATTACTCCATGCCTAGTAACCACGCTTTTAGTAAATCACCAATCTTTTAATAAGCTATATTTAATCTATCTTTTGTGAATCATTCTATTCTTTGCAAGTATACAATACAAGTTACAGTCCGCTAGACATAGAAAATATTAGGGGTTAAAGTATGAAATTGTCGATTTGTACTGAAAAATGAAAACTCGTTTTTTTCTAAGATGTAACATATTTATTTAATCATAATATTTACCCTCATTATCTAAACATTGCTGCTATCTAGTTAATTTATGCCTTTACCATAGAACTCTGGGGATCTAGATTCGACAAACTGTGTAAAAGCATTTTGTACTGCCTCCTACAAAGATTTTTTTTTTATCACGTAGAAAATTGTCCAATTCACGAAAAATTTCATTCCATTGGAGCGAAGTCTGGCGAGTGCGGAGGACGACGTATGGTTTCTAACTTCAGCTCCTGTAGAGTTACAACGGTTTCTCGTGCAGTGTGAGGTCTTGCGTTATCATGGAGCAATAATGGTGAAGATCGATTCAAGAGTCAAGGTTGTTTCACTACGAGTTTCGACATCATTGTTAGAAGTTCGGCACAGTAAACATCTGCTGTTATTGCCTGACCAGACCTGAGAAATCTTTAGTAAATAACACCATGAAGAGACAACCAAACAGTTACCATTATGATTTTATTGTTAAGTTTGACCGTTTGACATTTGACCTGGGGTCAGCCATTGTATTTTTCGCTAACGGTTATCGTAAACAATCCATTTTCCGTCACATGTCACCATTCCGTTACGAAAGCGTAAGAGCCAAAAACGCAAGGTGCGTTCATTAGCAGTCTCTTCCCCGAACGCAGCGTTGAAATTGCGAGCCGTTTCTGCCACGTTAGTACCGCGTCGGAACTCGTATTCAAAAATAACTCGGATTTTCGAAGTATCCATCTTTAACGTCAAGATGAATAAAAAAAAACAATTGAAAGTCGAAAATCTAATGTTGCAATTTTTTTTAAAGATGAACCTCACATGTATCATGTGCAAAAAGTTTCACACGAAAATCTCACATAATAAAGGTATTATGCCCATTCAAAGTATCTATTACTATTCAACGGGAATTTCATACTTTAACCCTTAGGGTTAAGTTTATACGTATAAACTACGTATAAACTTAATCCTATTACTTTAAAACTATAGTAGTAGCCTACCTGAAAACAAGAAAGCACTAAGTATAAGGCTTATAAATTACTTAACTTTGATGTCAAACAAAAGTTAGCCAACCCCGTAAATCATGCTAAAGTGAACACAAACTACCTATCGTTGTATTTTTATTTTCTTCTTTTTAGATAAATGCTGATCCCCTTTTTTTCCGTGCGGAAATCCCCTCGGATACCACCTGTCGGTGGCATGTCGGACACGAACCGACTAAAACCGCACGCCGTCTCGAGTACTAATAGCCGGGGAACCAGGTATACCCTAGAAAGGAAGTCCCTGGTGAAATGCTGATCCCCTGACATAATTTACCTTGTTACAGCACCCACGAGAAGCTATAGAGGTCATTTATTCACTTGAAACCGCACAGAGCACATCTTCTATGTCTTACCTTCTAGCATTCTACTTTCAACATCTTGTACAACATTTTCTAGTCAACATCCATATAACATATATTTTTATATTTCATTAAGGATTTCTACTAGTGTAAACTTGATAGAAAATATTCAAATACTTTGGGGTCTAAAATCATTAATTGGTCTTATCACGCCATGATAAAGGAACCTTTCGCGCTTCAGAAAAGTTAATAAAACAATTTACTTTTTAATTGTGATCTATTTATAGTAAATAGTATAGTCTATTCGTTTGAAAGACTAGATATAGCACTCGCTCGTTGCATGAAGATAGGTTCTATTGTTTCATTAAAATGTCGATATAAATATCCCAGTTCCTGAACTTTTGAAATTAAATCATCTTAATTTCACTTTACTTTGTTTACAGCTACGAATATATAACAAAACAACCCCGAAAATTAAAATTATAAAGATTACCGTGGTGCCATTAACGTAATTTCACCGAAGCTCATTAAGAAGAGCCGACACGATTCGCTTTGATTTTAATGTGAATCAGAGGGGAACCTCGGAACTTTAGACTTTATGGGTGTACGGGTGTACTGAGTTAATATAGGTTAATTTTCTTAGCGGCTTTGAAGTATTTCGGTACAATTGTGTATACTGTATACTGTACTCGGCTATTATATATTTGGTTTATTTTATCTTTTCATAATATATATCTGTATAAACATATTTAGTTAGTTTGTGTACGCTTCAAAAGCTCAAAAAGTTCTGCATCAATTGATCTCAATCAACTGTTTTTAATCTATTTTTCGTGTCAGTTTTGTCAACAATGTATCACAGTGAAGCATGGCAGGGTACAACTATTGTTAAATAAATTATAGTAATCCAATAATCCATGTACCTACATAGTTTTTTTCTCCAAACGGATGTGATGATCAACTGTGCTCTTTATTGTAGAAAACTGAAACTGCACGACTATAATCGGAGAAGAGGCTTTCCGAGTATACTGTGCTAAAGTGCAGTTGGATGCGGGATGCCTACTCGAAACCACTCAGACCGAAGCAACTAGTAAACAGTTGACAGATTTTTCGACCGCTTCACTAAGCAGACGTGTTCTTTGTATCCGACAAAATGCATAAGATAGAAATCAAATATAAATATCAAATAAAGTTTCCGCTAAGTATGTCACGAGCAAAGCAAACTGTGTATTTACATGATGATCTTAAACATGATCTAAAATAATCTTTGACTTATAAACATAGTTATAAACAGTTTGTCCGTGTTAGTGCCTATGTCTCAACCAGGATTAAACCCGTTTGGCCGTAGCCAGTTAATACGGAGGAGTTCTCCACCGACGCCAGCACAGCAACATCAACCTATCGTTGAAGAATCGCCTCTGCCCAAGAACAATGAATTACCAAGCGAGGTAATACAGACGCCGGAGATCCAGAAATGGATGTCAAGCATTGATGCCCTGTTGGGTGACGTTTGTTCTATAGTGTCGAAGGGCAAAATGAACACGGATCAGAAGATGCGTGTCACAAATGTTTACCGTAAGATCGGATCTGGAACATCTCAGATGGCCGTATTATATCAATCATTAAAACAGAAGACTATTCTTGCGCATACCACCATACAGCATCTACAGGAAACCCAAGATGTGGCGAGCTCCCTCAACCGACTAAAAACCGTTGTTGAGAAAAAGCTGAGACCACAAGAACATAGCTCTTTTGCCGATATGGGAAAAAAGGTGCAGAAAAGTGGGAGTCGTCCGAGCAATATTAGTAAGTTTATGGTCCAAAAATTAATTTCGCCCGAGGAACTAAAACTTCATGTAGACGCCTTAGAAAAGTGAGGAATGAGGGTGTTATTATTAGTGCCAATTCGAAATTAGAAATCGAGAAATTGAGGCAGTCAAAGAAATTAGCGTCATCAGGCCTTAAAGTCGAAGAACCTGAAAAACGCAATCCAAGAATTACTGTTGTAGGTGTACCCGTCCCCTGACTGAAAAGAAGGTACTTGAATGCATCTATGAGCAGAATTTAGCAGACAATTTTCCTGTCCTGTCTGAAAACCATAAAACTTAGTCACAAATCAGGTAAAAAAAGTTTTCCTTACTGTAACTATATTCTTGAGGTACCGGCTCATATTAGAAAAGCGCTCATAAATCAAGTCAGAATTTACATAAACTGGACTTCTTGTTCAGTTAGAGACTTTACGCTGGTTATTAGGTGCTTTAAGTGCCAGCAGTTTGGACATGCAGCTAAATATTGCCGTGAAACTAACCCAACCTGTAATCACTGTGGAGAGTCCGGGCACTCTTTAAAGGATTGTAACAACAAATCTACATCACCGTCTTATGCGACGTGCAAAAGGTTCAAATGGAAAAGTGATCACCAAACTGGTGATGCAACTTGCCCAGCACGGAAGTATGCTGAGGATAAGTATTTAAATTCTATAGACTATGAGGGCGTGTAAGAGCGCAATTGATAATTTAAGCGTAAGCACTTAAACCTATATATATTTAATACGTAATGACTAATCAGTAGCACTGTGACCTAGATCATTTTTCTGTCTGAAGTTAAATATTGTGAAGTCGAAGAGAATATGTGCCGACTACTGACAATTTACTGGCACCAATAACTCAACATAACTAATGATCAAAAATAATTGTACCTTTCTTGTGTAATAAAATTAACAAGATACTAAATATATCTAGCTTAAATAATAAACTTAAATTATATGGCAATGGAAAATAGATTAGCAATTGTTATTACATGTTTGTGATTTGCTTTTGCACGTGTACACTATGAAGTATACTTGTGTTCTTTATTTTTCTGTTAGTGTCGTTGTACATTAATATCTAAATAAAATTTGTTTAAGACTCTAAGTCAAGCAATCGCCTGAAACACAGGTTTATCTTAGAGTGTGGCCGAGGCGAAAACCTGTCCCGTCCACCTGACGGGACGGGTTTTCCCCTCCACCCGCCATAACGGCCAGCCGGACGTCGCCTAACAGAGAATGTACCCGAAGGTGGTGCCCGCGCAGTTGCGGGCAGGCGCTAGGAGGGATCAGGGTCCTAATAACAGCAGTCACCGGATCCTTCCAATTACATCCGCTGAGTGGCACACCGTGTGGTTTTAGTCTACCACTAAATTTTATTACATACCTTCATGTGTAAAAAAATCTATATATATATAAAATTTTACCTTAATTTTATACTTGTGTTACGGATTAACGTAACTGTTTAAAATATATTTTAAATAAAAATGTCCTACACTGTAACATATTATACTGGTTATATAATTTAAAAAAAAATGATTAAGTAGGCTCTAATAGTGTAGTCTCTGAGTTAGAACAATTCTGACGGAAAAAACTCAAAGAATTAACCATTTAATTAACAGACAAATTTACCAGAATTTAGTCCTTACATCCGTACGATGACGACGAGCAAACGGGAATGCCCCTTTTGGGTCTACTGTGAACAAAATTGTTAAACTAAGTGACTGTTAACACTAATGTTTTGATAAAAATCATAAAAGATACATACATTCAATTGAGTGAATTTAAAGCTTAGGTATTACAGCATATAGGTAGAGCTGTGTAGAGATTTCGTTGAAGAGTTTAGTATATAAAAGTTACTGTTGCAAATGATAATTCAAATTACCAGTTTCAAATTTTGTTACCAGGTGCTGTCCTCGTGTGGTCCCATGTCAGTATCGTTCTTCACAGTGGTGGTATTCTTCGGTTCGTTCTACCTCATCAACCTAATGCTCGCCGTAGTCGCCCTCAGCTATGAGGAGGAGTCACAGATTACTCAAGAAGTAAGTTATTTGAATATAAAATATTTGCAGCATATTTTGCTGCTAACCAGACAAAGCATACATAACTCTTTGTGTCTTGATCACTTTTCAATTTGTTTCCAAAGTTATGCGGTAATACATAGATCTCTATCCAAATAAGAGCACCTTTCGCGACCGCACTTACCAATACTACTTTAGTGGTTTTATATAGTCCAACCAGATATAAATTGAACTAAAAAAAGTTGCCTAGAGATGCCTTGCGTTTAGTTATAGACAGATAATAAATGTACATCTGCTTATAGGAAAGAAAAAAAGACCTGAATGAACATCGTGACGACTCCACGTTCAGCTTCGATCCAACGTCGTTGGCTGTTAGAACGCTTGCGAAGGATTCCCGCAAGCGTATCGACGCCCGGAAAGGGTTGCTACTTGCGTCATACTCACGGAAAAGGACAAGAAGACGTAAACGTGGTAAAAGTGCTATTCATCACGCGGCTGCAGTTGCTACTGTGGCAGAGAGGTCAGTGTTTGTCATTTTGTTAATTAGATGTTAGAAGATATATACTTAAGTCGGAGATCTTCTTAATGATTTGCTGGATATACAATATTTATATATTAGTCGGTGTGGGTTAAGAGAGTAAGAGTGATAGCTGGCAATCTGGCGGATCGTCAATTGTGTGCCGAGACGGCCACCTTTTACGACAGAAATTGAAAAACCTTGCTCACGATTCGCGTTGGTTGTGCCGTTGACGTACAGTTGATGTACATTTATTAAGTACTAGCTGAGACCCGCGGTGTTACCCGCGTTTGTTGTTATAACCGCGGGCAACGCCGCGGGGCGAAGCTAGTCTAAAAAAAGTAGCCTAAGTTACTCCTTATGTCATCAGCTATCTGCCAGTGAAAGTCCCGTCGAAATCGGTCCAGCCGTTCCAGAGATTACCCTCAACAAACAAACAGACAGACAGACAAAAATTGAAAAAAATGTTATTTTGGCATATGTACCGTGTAAACATCCATATGCATTTATTAAAAAGCGGTTATTTTAATATTACAAACACACACTCTAATTTTATTTATTTGTATAGATAGGTATTAACTCACTCAGAGTTATTATTCCTGCTTAGATAAATTATATATGACCCTACCCACGTGTATAATAGAGGCTTCCCCTGTTGGCAATTCTGTTTCCATTATATTTGTTTAAGAAAGAGTTTTCAACTTTTAATTCCAAATGTATGAGAGAGGGCACATGATTGCGCTTAGTTGCTCGCTTTGTAGACCGCAAAGGAATAAACGTGTTAACATTGTCATTTCGTTGGACCCGGTACAATATTTACTTTGTAACAAATATTTAAAATTTATTTCAACGCTAATATATCTTAAATATACCAAATATAATAATATAATAATGTATTTATGAAGAAATTAAGTAATCTCTTATGCTCAATGCGTCAACAAACCAAAGGATAACAGACTTAAAAAGTTTAGGTTAAAACGATTTAACTATTTTACCATGATTAATATATCGAATATAAAGTCCGCATATGTTATTCTTAATGTTAAAAAAAAAAACGAAAGCAAATTTGATAATTATTACATTAAAAACTTTACACTAACAAACTTAGGTACTAAAAACACAAAACGTTTTCCCGGCAAAACAGTATGAGATATCCCGCATGTGATGTCGTCTAAAGAACATTTAGAAATTTATGTAACGGGATTCAACTGACGCGGCACGAAATCTGCAATCGTACAGCTCTATATGAGACATAAAATTTCATGAGCTGCTGGCAACAATTGCCTCCTAGGCTACCGCTATTTTATTTCCAGTTTGGTTATTTGGGAAACGTTATGTATATATAGTTATTAACCCGGTATCTTAGATGTCATTAAAATATTAACAAAAAATGCTACAGGTATTCGCCTGAATTACTAGTCTGATATCTTGCGGTACAGTCATTCATTATTTTTTCCTTTTTAGGGATTTTCCAAAAGGAATTTTAAAGCATACATTTTTTTTTTTAAGTTTTTATATACATCCCTAATGACACCTTACCGCCAACGTACAACACTGATCGAAATTAAATCACTTCCCCAAAGATAAACGAAGCTTCAATCACAAAATGTATTACTAAGAAGAATTTTGTGCATTTTATACTGTTTTTAAAATTACTTGGAAAAATAAACAAATGATATAGAGTAACTCTTTCAAGATTTATGACCTTCAATTTAAAAGCAGTCACCATTCGGTCCACCAGCTTTTATAGCTTGGAATTTAACTCAATTTATAACAAAAACGTAATAATATACAGAGACAGAAGCAAAATTAAATTTATAAAACAAATTGTACAAATATGTTTTTTGCACTCTGTTATAAATGAAATGTGAAAAGTTCAAATTCAACACTGTATTGTTAAATTATGCCTTATTTAAAGTGATTGTTCGCAATTTTATTCCAGTTTTGGTCAAAAGTAACTGTATGTCAAATATAAAATCTGGAATTTGGAAATTGTTTTTACAGTTTTTCCCTAAGTATCACTATTTTTGACATATAGACAAATAACACCAGGACTTTAATTTTTAGGTACTTTGGTGTTTGTTACGGGGAAAAAATTTGTCTTTATATCTCTAAAATAAGTAATTTTATCGTTAGGTTAGAAATACGTGCTCTTATGAAGTGGAATAATATCAATTTCTATATTTTATGCAGACCTAAACTGGTCCTATGCAAAAATGCGGATCAGCAATTCAATTTTTAACAAAGTGTTTTTACACTTTACTAAAACTTTATGCCCACATGCTCAAAGCAATAGTCTATATACAATACTAGGACAAAAAAGTTCTGAGGTAACAAACATAAAAAAAAAAAACAGTGGAATTGATAACCTCCTCCTTTTTTTGAAGTCGGTTAAAAAGCAGGTATTTATGCTCTGCAACTAATGCAAAGCGGGAGCGAGTTGTTGGTGTTAAATTAAAAATATATGCAGTTGCTGCTGCGTATGTTTTTGGGAAGCCTGACTACTCTTGCTGCGGTTGGACTTGCCAATATATCGCTGCGGATTCGAATCCCAGTCACATGAACCCACTAACAATTTAAGCATTTAGCTTAACTGGAGAGGTTAACAAGAATTCTATCTATCTCCATCTCTGACTACTGAATTAATATCACGTTAAGAGTATTCCTACAAAAAAAAAGCGTTGGTCCTGACAGAGGTCCATATTAAGACGCAAAGCGATCTATCAAATTGGAATCAATGATTCACAGTCAAAGTGAATATTATGTACCAATTAGCGCAAAAGTAAATGTGATTACGACGATAAGAATATTTTATTAAAATGTACAAAAATGCTATTATACATACTATACTAATACTACTACCTGTCCTACTACAAAGTAAAATATTCCTATCTCAATTCTACCGCCGAGACCCTACTGCAGAATGGCACCCATTAGCTTATCAGCTTCCATTCGCTAATCATGTCAAACGATTTGTGAAAGATAAAACCTGTGGATGTTATGTTGGGAACCAACGATCGTGGGCCATTGTAGTGACGTATTACGGAACGGACGTATACGGAAACCGACACTACTGTAGTGACACCCATTTTGATATTGATCTTTTATCGTAATGGATTACACGTAGGACTGGGATAATACATACATACAACCTCGTTTTATTCCTGCAGGGTTAGACATTTCGCTGGGTTTTTTTTTGAAGACAACTCCCGGACTTGGAATATATTCTGCGTCGCGGGAAACTTTACAAACATACATGAAACGGATACAAAGAACACCTAAACTCAGTACGACCATTTGTGGATCACACAAAGTGTCGTCTCATGTAGGGATCGCCCCTACATCACTCAGCGTAGTAGCGACCGCTTAAACCACTACGCCATCCGTACAGTCATCTCTGTAGGAGTTACAATTCTAATTCCATTCATGTTCGAAGGGGCAAACCTGTTGTATAGCTGTTAACCGGGCACATATACGAGTACATATGTCTAAATCTGCCTTTGGATATCAGGATAGCACCCAATCGCCTCTCATTTAAGACGAAAGTCCGAGCTCGAATTCTCGACACTTTAGCAGACTCATCACATCCCTAAAGTCTTATATGTTATTATGTTAGTCTTGTATGTATTACTCAGCAAGTATATATATGTATGTGTATCTCAGTATGTATGTAACCTAATTTTAATTTCATGCACCTACTGAGACATTTCCCCACCACCCAAAGGTAGACTGGGAGAAAATGCCTTTGGCATTAAGTCCGCCATTGTACTTTGTTTGTGCAAAAAGAATTAAAATAAAATAAATAAACACATTTATAAGTTTCTAAATACATAAATTTATAGATAAATTACACCCACAGACAGATCAAATGATCGTTATTTGTTATTTGTCCTCGGTGAAAATCGAATCAGAAGCAAGCAGGATCGCTAAATAAAGAAGGTATTTTTTTTAATTCTTGAAATGTATTTGATACAATCTAGGAGAGTTGAATGACCTATATGGATATGAATTATGAATAATGACACAGTCGCACGGCATGTTCTGTAAAGTTTTACGAGGCAAACACGATAAACTTGACATTTAGGATCGGGAGATCTATTTATATCGTGCTTTGCCCGGAGCCAAAACTATCGATTGAATATATAAACGAAGATAAGAAAATACTAAGTAAATGAACAGTCTTTGTACATGTTCATCTTGAGCATCTTGATGGGGCGGTTGCTCTAGGCATTAGTCATCCTAATCGTGGATTAATATTATAAAGCCGAAGAGTTTTATTTTTTGTTTGGAACTAATCTACTAATCTCAGGCACTACAGGATCGAATCGAAAAATTATTTTAGTGTTGGACCACACTGCGATAAATAGGAGCCGAGTATTAATAAAAATGTTCCAAACACGGGGAACATTTAATTCTTTTGAGAGAGTCAGCCAGTCATTATCATCAGGGATTTCTTTTGTTCAAGGAAGTCAATAATTACAATTGTTTTTTGACAAGACTAAACATTTGTTTTCTTTAGAATAATGGCAGATCCTGTACACCTACAAATATATTATGATGGATGGTTTTAACTTATATGATTTAAACTGTTTATCATCAACAACCTTTAATAGTCCACTCCTGGACATAGGCCTCTCCTTAGAAAGGAGGATTTGGCATACTATACCACGCTTGCCAGACGGGTTGGTATAGGGTTTGTGTCAAGGTTTCCTTCTTTTTGCAGTGCTGTTGTCCTGCGTAATTTGCTCCCTTAGTCGTCTCTTACGATCTCTTATAATTATGGCATGAATAGGGGTGGCGAGGCTACGTACTCTTAATCCGTCACCACACTGAATGTGTGTCTGTGTGTGACTGTTTATAAAGTGAATTCCTGAAACTTTGCTAAAAGTATATATATTTTCCCCAAAACATGTTACAACTGCAATAACTAAACGTTCAAGTGTGGTCAACAAAACGCATTCCTACGTTTTCTTAGCTTCATGTGCATAAAATATAAAATCCAG